TGTGTGTGTGTGTGTGTGTGTGTGTGTGGCCAGCTCAGCCCACCAGGGGGCAGGGCTGGCTGGCATGTGGTGCTGGGGGATTGAACCATGGTCCCTTTGCTTTGCTAAGCTTATTCTAAGTAGGTACTTTAGACCACTGAGCCATCTCACCAGCCCTGAACTGCAATTTTGGTATACTCCTTTACACACAGTTTCCCTTTCCATGGCATCAGTTAACCATGGTCAACTGCAGTTCAAAAACATTAAGTGGAAGATTCCAGAAATAAACAGCTGATACATTTTAAATTGCATCTGTTCTGAGTAGCATAATAAAATCTCATACCTTCTTGCTCTGTCCTGCCTGGGACAGTAATCATCCCTCTCCCCAGTGTACCCCTGATGTATATGCTGCCTGCCTGTTAGTCACCCAGTCACTGTCTGTTATAGATCAACTGTTTTCATGTCATACAGAGTATACATGTATACAGGATTCAGTACTATCCAAAGTTTCAGGCAGCCATGGGGATCTTAGTATCAATTCCCCTTGGATAAGGAGGAACTGTATTATATTAATTCATATTTAGTCAATATTTATTAGGTACCAGCCAGTGTTCCAAATATTTGCACATATTATTTAATTTAATCCTAAAGAAAATCTAATGAAGTGAGCACTATTATTATTATTTCCAATTTACAGATGGCAGTGAAAATATAGAGCGCTCTATAATTTGTCTGAAATTAGATAGCTATGAAGTGGAAGAGTAAAGATTTCTGCCCACAAAAAGGACTCTGACTCCTGGGTCTGGGCTCTTAACCTCCATCTCACAGTGTCGAGAAACTTTCAGGATTACTCCCACCATGATGGGCTTATCCATATTTTTGTTGGAACACTGTAAAGAATACCCTTCAAGCACTGCCTTGACAGTTATTTCATCTAACCTTCACAATATTCTAGGAACTAGGAAGAACCAAATATTTCCTTTATTACAGAAGAGAAAAGTGACAGTCTGCAGGATTTATTGAATTCTCCTTACACATATCAAATTGGGTCACATGACCCTTTACTTGGTGCCCCTTCCTGGTGTAAGGGAGGAAGTGTGGAGTCTCTGTATTCCTCCCCTTGGTCTTTCCACTCACCAGTGCTGCAGACAGGAGTTCAGGGTGTGCAGAAGTCTCACACAAGTGTGGTCAGAATCTGGCTTGGAATGAGGCCCCCAAGTCCCAAGAGGGCGACAACAGCAGACCGTGGCCCACGGAGAGCCTTTTCCCCTCCTAGCCCCTTCAGAGCTCTTGCATTCTCCGTTCTCCCCTTGCACTGTCTTCCCCACACCTCTATGGCACCCATCATGGATGAACAGGAGAGTTGCTGTCCACAGCACTCCACCCTCTTCTTTCCTCATCACATACACAGTGGTCAGGGATACTAATTAGATTCTGCAGATGTTTTGGGGCTGATAGAAGAGAGGAAGAGGGCTTTTCTGTGTCATTGTATTTGGAGTTCTTAGAGCCTGGAGGAGAAGAAGGTGAGAGTTCTTGATACTTCAATGGTATCACTAACCCTCCTTCCAGGCAGTGGGACAAACTCAGAAAAAAGCATTAAGTCTGCATGACTGGACCATCTTCTGGAAAATTCCTTTGTTATGTGTAACCCTAGACCTGGGGAAGCATTGGAAAATGTAAAGGCCCAATTCCCTGTAATACAATACTATCTATGTAATGAAATGTAGAGGCCAGTGTCTGACCTGGACCAGCAGGTGAAATGTTTTCCAATGACTATGATTCCTTGGAGGTCACTCACTGGTCCCAGCTACCCTACAGGCCACTAAAGCAGGGTGGGGCTCCCTAGTGGAAAGTTAGCAAGTTGAAATGCTTCCTGGGGTGTTTCCATCATGCAAACCAGATGTCCTTCCCTCTGCCTTCCCAAATCTGGTTCCTCTCAGAGGCCTGCTGAAAGCCACTCATAGCTCCACATTCATGCTTAGGACAAGATCCTACACCATCTCTCTCACTTCCCCAGCTGTCTCCACCTCTCCTCTTTTGCTCACCCCACTCCACCACCCTGGTCCCTGTCTGGTCTTCAGACTCACCATGCTTTCTCCTGGCAGGGGCTTTTGCACATGCTCTTCTCTCTTCCTGGGGTGCTCTTCCCTCTTCTCTTTGCCTACTAAACTCCCACTCAGCTCAGGCACCACTTCCATGGGAAACTAAATAGCCCTCTCACAGGCCTTTACCGTGTGCCTCCCATTATCACCCTTGTGGAATTACAGTGGAAAGTCCACAGGGTTGGGGCTGGAGAGATGGCTCAGTGGTCTAAAGCACCTACTTGGAACAAGCTTGGCAAAGCACAGGGACAGCAGTTCGATCCCCCAGGACCACATGCCAGCCAGCCGCGCCCCCTGGTGGGCTGAGCTGCCCCCCCCACACACACTAAATAAATGTTAAAAAAAAAATCTATTTTTTAAAAAAAAGAAAGTCCACAGGGTTGTCTGTGATCCTGTGGTCCTAAGGCTGCAAGCTTTACAAAGGGGGAGACTTTGTCTGGGTGTACCTACTGTTTATTTCCACCACCTGGCATGTCGTCCATGCACATAGAATACTCAATATTTATTTGCTGCATGACTACATGGAAAAACTGTGCACTAAAAATCCAACTCCCAACCTATGTAAGCCAGTACTGCCTGGACTAGGTATAGTACTGCTAAATTCCTGAGCTGAAACTTACCGTCTAACCTTTAATCTTTCTATCAATACTGCTGATAAGTACAATGCTTTTTCTGCTAAAAAAAAAAATAAATAAAAAAAAAAGAAAGAAAGAAAGAAAAAGAAAAAAAGAAGGGGCTGGGGAGATGGTTCAGTGGAATAAGCGCTTCCCTGGCAAGCACAAGGGTCTGAGTTCAATCCCCAGTTCCACCAAAAAATAAAAAATAAAAAAAGAAATATCCAAGTTAATATACACTCAGTAAATTAGAAATTGTTTTCCTTATCACTCTCCCACATCCCGCGTCCTTTCCTTGTCTGTTGAATTGGTAATCTCTGACATGCATATTAAATGGTACGTGAAGTGCTGTTATTGTAGAAACAAAACAGAACAGGCAGAAGAAAGACCTGTGCCCTCCCAACACCTAGTAGTGAGAAAATAGATTGTGTTATCCTGAAAGGAGTATCGTAGGCCCCTGGAACACACTACCACACAGGCTGTTTTGTCTTTTTCTTCCTGATTTCTCTGTCTGTTTCATAATCAAGTAAAAGGATCTCTTTCTCAGCCATGCCTGACTTACAATGATTTCTGATTATTTCACAGGATATTGGCTTCCTCCGATTTAAAACTACAGTGTAAAACTGCAAAAGTGTCCATTGTACTACAATTTGGGCACCCTGGTTTAAATCTGATTTCAGAGGTGGCTTCTTTGGGTAGCAGAAGAGGGAAGAGAAAGGGTTGAGGGTATTCAAGCAACAGGTAACCCGCCACTCTCTCCTCTCCAGTGGCAGGCCATCTCGCTGACAGTCATCGAGAAGGTTCAGATTGCAGCCGCCATCTTGGGTTCCCTCTTCCTCATCGCCAGTATCTCTTGGCTCATCTGGTCAACCTTCAGTCCCTCAGCAAAATGGCAGCGCCAAGACCTCCTCTTCCAGATCTGCTACGGGATGTATGGCTTCATGGACGTGGTGTGCGTAGGTAGGTCTGGGGGCTTAGCTCCGTAGGAAGAGGGGAGCTACATATTAATGAGACAGATGCTTCCTCTGGCTTCCTTCCTTGGGAGGCCAAAGCAGAGATGGCACCAGGCTTCAGACCTGGAAGCTCAGGACAGGTCACAGCTTAGCGAGGAGAACTAGATGGATAGGTGGGAAACGCAGGGCCAAGAGGCAGCTCTAAATTGTTCCCAGGGAAATCGACCTTGTCCACTTGCAGATGAGGATAAGGAGGCTTGGTCCTAGGACTATGAGGAAGGTGAGTCAGGCCGTCTGTCTGGCAGGCAGGATATGGAAGCCATCTTCTACTTGTGTGCCCCGTTGCTGCCAACCCATGACAAGGAATGTCTGTGCAGTTAATTCCAGCCGATCCCCAGCAGAGTACCCAGAAACAGCCATGATGGGTCTGCTTCTCACCTTTTATTTTTATATGCCTATCTCAAGGCCCAAAATTCTCTAGCTCAGGCATTTTCACGCTGTCTTTACATATAGCTCCAGGAAGCACCTTTGGGAGCAGGAAACAGAATCTGCACAGACAAGTTCAGAATTCTCACCTGTTTCACTCCTAGCTTCTGTGCTTTTATCTTGTTCCACATATTCCTGTTCCAGGTAAAATTTTGTGTAAAAGGTTACGGTATTTTAGAGAAATTTGGGATGTTTTGCTTTTACTTCTGCTTCTTTCCTTGTTCTACCCCCCCCCAAGTTATGTTTCTCCGCTCTCTTTTTGTGGGGGGGAGGGTTGCGGTTTACCAGAGATCGAACTCAGGACCTTGTGCTTATGCCACTGAGCCGTCGCCCCAGCCTTGCTCCTTTCTTCTGCCATGGTTGGCAGAAAGCTGGGTCCTTTTATTCCAACAGATGATTGTGGCTGTGCTTGGCTTGGTCCAAGCAACTGAGAAGTTAGGGAATGGTCCTAGTTTCTGAGAGAGATGTAGGTTAGCAACCTTCACTGTTCATGGGGTGGGAGTGTATGGACATCAGCATAAGTATTGGCTAACCTGGACCCTCAAGGTACCCCACAGGCCACAGGAATGAGAATTAAATTCCACAGCTGTCTTCCCTGGGCACAAGTGTATGTGTTGCATAAAATATGCCACAGTACCCTGGCAGGAAAATATCCATTAGCTAGAATTTGGCTGGGATGATACTGATGTGAACTGCTTTGAAGTCCTTTAATATTAGTAATCAGAAAGACCTGAAGATTTGCAGACTGATCACCGCAGTCAGAGGCCAGTGATGCTAGAACCTGTATAATCACCTAAGCCATCTTTCTGCCTGTCTATGCTAACTAAATCAACCTATCAACCTTGAGTTCAAGAGCCTTTTAATTACAGCACCCAAGTGGCGAGAAACAGACAGCTTAGGTGTGGAAGACTAGAAAAGAGGACTGTGAGCAGGGAGGACTTTGACTTCCATTCATTATAACCTACTTTCCCGTCCCACCAAGCTCCCTTCCTACCCCAGCTGAAGGCTGGGTTGCAGGTGCCAAAAGCCAGGTGTGTCTCCATATGGAAGATTACAGCAGCTCTGGCATGGAAGGCTTCCTGTGGGGGACCCTCCAGTTGCCCTTCATTCTCCTTCAGGCAGGCTAGATCATTCCCTGTGGTGTGCCTCTGCGACTTTCTTGTCATGCAGCGTATTAGTCAGCTTTGGCTGCGGTAACAAAGAGTTCCAAAAATCACAGTCCCTTACAACAAACATTTATTTCCCATTTATGAGTTTGCAAGACTGCTGAAGCACTACTGCGCTGGGCTGGGCTTAACTTTTGACTGTGCATTAAATTCAGGCTTGGTCCCAGTGTCTCCTGCTGTGACTCAGGCTGAGGCCTGAGGTGTTCTCCTCTTCTAGGAGAGTGCAGGTGGACAAGGTGGTCAGATGAAGCTTGCAGTGTGACTCAGAGCTTCTGCCCAGAACTTGTGCACTGCTACTTCTGCCCGCAGCCTGTTTGGTCAGTGCAAGGCATCAAGAAGCCTGACATCCATCCATGGGGGTGGGGCAAAATATACTTCTCCTTCCCTAGCAAGAGTGTGGGCAAGAGGGAGGAGCATAAAGACAGTCTACTGCTGGTGGCCCTACAAAGTTGAGGACCTAGTTGAATATAAAAGAGACCATGCAGTCAGCCAGGACAACCCCCTTGGTCTGAAGCTGAATGAGGACTTGGTCTGCTTGAGGTATTGGCTTGCATTGGAAGCATTATTTCCCAACCTGTGGTCCAGAGCTCTTTTCATTCCCTCTCTTGCATCAGACAGCAAGAGTCCCATAGTGTCACTTATGGGATGTCTGCGGATGCTACCTGTGACTTTGGGTGTACCTGAGCCTACTTCTGAGTGAACCTTTATATTATGGTCTAGATCTGAGATCTCCCCCAAGAGCCTCTGGCATTCACAGGTGGGACTTGGGGAAGGTGGGCTTGGCTGGAAGCGGTGGACTTGGAAGGGTGCACTGTCCTTCTCCACTCCTCACTCCACTCTCTGCTTCTTGGCTGTCATGAGTTGAGCTGCTCTCCTCTGCCCCTCCTTCCTGCCTTGGAGCCAGCCGATAATGGATTAAAGATGTGAACCAAAATAACCCTTTCCTCCCCAGCACCAAGAAGAGTGACGGAGACACCTTACGAACAGGATAGTGCTTTGGGGCTTCAAGCAAGCTCACACTCCTGCTCTGGACTGTATGGGGTTCTGGCATCTCCTGCTCCTGGTCTGTCTCTCTGAGCAGGACTCTGCACCAGCACCTCCTCCTCTCTCTTTCTTGGCTACTTCCTGCCTGTCTTTCTCAACCCACTTCTATCTCTCTATTCTTTCTCTTCTTATACACATGTGGCAGTCAGTCCTTTTGTTTCTGAGAGAAATGTAGGAGAGCTTTCACTTCATTTTTCCTTTCTTCTTTAATATTAGGAACACAATTTCCTACAGGTGCAAAGCCACACCATAATCTGTTCATTCTCATGGTCAATACAGTGACAACTTGGAGACAGACATTGGACAGGAGGGGAACACATAGGGACCCTCCTAGGACTTGGTGTCATCTCCAGAAGTGATCAGATATATTGACACATATACTAACCTTAAAGATTTCAATCTTTTCTATCATTTTATCAGTTATAATTGGAATTAATTCTGTTTTATAATGAGTCTTTATGGGAGCAAGGATTATTCTTCCCATTTTTCAGATCATGAAATGTTGAGAGTGAGGGAATTATCTTAGGCTATTTTGGGCAGCAGAATAAGAGTCTTAGTTCAGTGTTTCTCTAGGAGAGGCTTTCCAGAGAAAATGTTGAAGATGAAACAGAAAGCATCCTTCTAGAGAAGGGAGTGGAGGTTATGGGAAGTAGTTGGAATCTACAAATGGATTCTACTGGTGGTTGTAATAGTGGACTTTGATGATGATTATGATTAGTGATGAATATAGTGGGGTTGTTTTTATACAGAGTCTCACAGTGCAGTTCAGACTCATAGTGATCCTACTGTCTCAGCCTCCCTAGTGCTGGGATTACAGGTGTGCCTCACTACACCCATTTCCAGGGCTGGCATGGCACATACAGCCGGTATGACATGTGGTACCAGAGTTTGAACTTGAGCCCTTGCGCCTGCCAGGCAGGCACTTATGCCACCAACCTATCTCCCAGCCAAATACAGTAGTTTTAGGGGTGAGACATAAGGGTCACTCCTCCACTGAAATATTCTGATCACTAGAGGAAAAACACCTATCACTGTACAATTAAATGCAAAAATATACAGCTGGCAGGGGACTCCCTGGAGAGAGAACCAGGTGGATGCTGCAACCAGGAATATTTTTGTTTTTAGGCTAAACTGGATACCTAGACTCTCAAGCACTGCTAGTGAGAAACTTGGCATCAGAGTTTCTTAGGGGAGTGTAGGGTGGCAGGTTGGGCTTTGCTCTGCTGGGCAGTCTTCACTTTCGCCCACACCCTGGTCTAAGTTGTCTTTCTTAGCTCAGGAACAATGAGTTGAGATCCAGAGTGGATATAGAGTCCAGCTTGACATAATCTCCAGAGTCTCTTGGAAAGGTTGGTTGGCAAAATGTTGCGTGAAAGAATCCATCTCCAAATGCTTGGAGGAATGAACAGTTCATCACTGAGATAAAAACATTATCATCAGAAGAGAGGAAAAGGAATCTGGCGCTAGTTAGCTCAAGAGGTGGAATACGAGAAGAAGAATAAACCTACTTGCTGATATTCTCTGGACTTCCTGTTCTTCAGATGCTATGAGTAATTTGTCATCTAAGACTGCTAAGTGACCAGAGAGTAAATAACATGAGTAAACATAGAAGGGAAAACTGTGGTGAATCTTTACACACCCACAATCTTTTTTCATTGAAGTGAAACGACAAGAGAGAATTCACAACAGTGGGAGGGAATTTGTGATGGCGAAGGTGGACTGTCAGCATGGCTGGCCTGGGAGCCACTCAGAGAATTAGGGAAGCACTCTTGTGGGTATGTCCAGGTGGGTCTTGGAGGCATGACCTTGGCATTTAGATTTGGCTCCTCGTCCCTTCTGCTCTGGCACTGTCTCCCTGCTCTGCGTCCCAGCTGCCATGATCTCAGCAGCTTCACCCCACCATGCCTTTCTGCCATGAATCTCTTTCCTCAGAACTATCCAGCCAGGGACTGAGTCCCCTGAAACCGTGAGCCAAATTAAATATCTCCTCCTTTAAGGTGTGAGTGTTGGGTATATGGTCCCAGCAGTAAAAGTCTGACTAATGCAGACACAGAAAAACTCCACTGAGACCCAATAGAAGATAGTCTCTGCCCTGGAGCCAGGAAGGTGCAGAGACTACGACAGGGTCTGTGTGTTGCTTTTGAAGCCTCCTAGGCCTATTCATGGCTGTTTCCACCCAACTAGCATGCAGGACCATCAGGGCTCAACAAGAAGACACAGAGTGATGTCTCTCTCAGAGAATGGTTTTTAGTACTTATCAAAGGGCTTTACCTAAAATGGTTGCCAGGAAGGTCTGAGTTTCCTGTCTGCT